TCCATCTTCCAAGGCTGTTCACTAAACAAACATTTTGAAAATTTAGTCTGGGACAAAAGTGCAGTTAGTACTTTACTCACAAGATATACAGAAACAAAAAGATGCAGACAAATGTCTTTCATAGCAGCAACTCAACATATTATTAATGTATTATGTCTAAAAGTAAATAGTACATGAGGGCAAAAATAAAGTTGAATATTCCTTGATATTCATTCAATTTTTATTAGGGATTATTTGAAAAATTAGGAAAAATGTTATGCAACTCCAGCCTGGGTGACAGAGTGAGACTCCAACTCAAAAAAAAAAAGGTTTAGCAGTAGCAGGATACAACTGGTGTGGGGGTGGCGGGTGGTGCGGTGGGAGGGGAGAGGACACAACATCGATAAGGGTACCTGATCTCAAACCAGGTGAGGTGGGGACCAAAGGGAGGCCAAACTTTACCTGTATGATGACCACTTGTATACCTCATCCTGAATTGTACCCCACATTAAAAAAAAAAAACAAACTAACATATGAGTTCCCCCAGGTAACCATGGCATCTCCAGGCACACCCAAGAGAACCAAGAGGATGGCTCTTTGGCAGGAATCAGCAGTCTGCCGCCGCCCCTGTCTTACGCTCCTGACCTATGGACCACACAGGAGACTCAGCTCAGCAGGCCTTGGAGAGCCTTCCATGAAATCACATGCTGGACTTCCCGGAACAACCACGGGTTTCCACCTCTAGCCTGAATGGTCCCTGGTGTTCTTCAGCCAGGGGTAAGGACTCCGTGGGAGGCTGGGAGGCTGCCCCTGCAGCAGGGCCATGGTGGGAAGTCCTTTTGGGTTTCTCATGCATGTGTTCACCGGAGCCTGCGAGGGAAGCCGCTCTGTGCTCTCGACAAGCAGCTTCCTCTTCCCGCTGGAGATGCGGCCAGACCACACATGGCCTTCCTACGCTTAACTGTGCCTGTGGGTTGAGCCATGTCCATGAGAATGTGGTGATAGGAGGGCACCACCCTCCCGGGAGCAGCCCACAAAGGCTCCAGCACGATCCCCCAAACTCTTTCCTGCCATTTCCAGCAGGAAACAAAAACCCAAGCGAGAGACCTGAGGCCTCCAGCAAGACGGAAGTGGACTGACTCCCTGCATGAGGAAGCAACTTCATTCTACCCTGGATTTGAGGTGAGCAGGACATAAGGAGGGACTGAGTCACGTCGCAGAGATCTGGGGGATCATGTGTTACAGTGAATGATTCCAGCCGATGCAGCATGTATTTGTCTCAGCACAGAAGCAGGCATGGGATACAAGAACAGTACAAAATAACTCCCCCACCCCCCCCAAGAAATGGCTCACCGTCCAGTAGAGGGAGACAGATGGGCACCTGAGACCATGACTAAGCTGTGGACCAAACTACGACTGAGAGGTTTCCAAGGAGGGAGGCGGCATCTACACTGGGGTGATGGCGCTCCCAGCCACTGTCAAGGCACGAGCGTGCACAGGGCTCTGGCTCCCCCACCAGGCACTGGAGCGAGTGCAAGGATGGGGACCACCATCTGCAAGGATGGGGACCACCATCCACGGGCATCCGCTGGATCTTGTGGAGTCTTCAAAGTATACTGCAGAGAAGCAGAGAAGCAGTGCTGTCAGTTCCAGGAGAGGGCACCCCCCACCCCCCGGGCAGGGGCACCCAGAGGAGAGGGCTTTCAATGGATGCCTCCTCCAGTCAGGACACAGTTATTCAGAGCCTACTCCTGGCCAGTCAACAGGCAATCCTGAGCTTATATCCTCATGAGTATAGGCACCGGAAATAACCCAATAACAGAACAAGATGCTTTCAGAAAGATCCTAGCAAGAACCTCTCCGCTTGCACTACCTGTGGAGAG